TTGTTGTCATGCTGATGCTTGCCATTAATTGAGGGAAGAGGTTCGCTGGCAACTATTGATGCCACTGTTGATTATGATACTCAGCGAGGCCGAACGGCTTCCACCTATCTAAAGTTTGGCATAAAGATAATTAATACCTAAAATTTTTAAAAATAACAAATAAATACTTTATATCATATTCTGTTAGAAAATTTTATATGCTAAAAGACAGTATAATAATTTTATCTACAGTCACAAAATTTTTAATTTTTAAATCTTTTTCTCCATACAGTATAGTAATTTTATCTGCAGTCACAAAATTTTTAAATTTTAAATCTTTTTCTCCGTATCTATTCTTACCCCAAGCCCGTTTGCACAACCCTCTTGCGTCATCGATAGATTTTTTGACCTGATTTAGCATTTTTCTGAGAAGTTCGGTGATAAACAGTGGCACTAACCCTTATTAGCGTGCGTTGGGAATGGAGATCGGTGGGTATTCCAGTCTTTTCACTATTTTTGTCTTTTAGCAAATGAAAATTCCTAACAGAACATGACGGAAAGTGGGTGTTTGTCATTTCCAAGCCTTTTGGGTATCACTTTGTCTATACAGCAAACTTTGGGTATGTGTGAGTCGTTCCCCCTATTTAGTGACAGCTTGAAGCCTATTATTCTTCAAATAATTCATTTAATCATTCTTCAAACAAACCACAACTCCTTCAAGTTAACTTGAATACGTTTATAAATGTTTTCAGAGAAGGAATTTCAATTCCATGTGTGTTTCTTTATCCAAGGATGATTTAAAGAGGGCCAGGGTAGGGATGAGGAATCCCCATGAGTATTTCTCACATAAAATTACTAAATTGATTTTAAAAATAATAAAATTAATAAGTTACAAGGATATTACAATTGAAAATTACCATAGCATATCATATTTCTAAATGAGTAAACAACATATTCGCACCCAAGGTTTGGCGAAATCCTAAGTTGGTATCCCAAGTTCCATTTATTCTAGATTCTCACCCTTAAAGTAACGGAAAATGGCTAGATATAATAGTTTAGGGGTACATTGGTCATTTTGTAAAGGAGGCGCACAGCCGCACATTAGCAAATCGCCACCCCTAACAAAGCTCTAATGCACATTAGCCAACATCACCGCCGACGTTTTTCGCCTTTTTCCAACGATTCTTCCACCCAAAATCACCCTTGTCACCACCATTCGAACCCTCATCTTTCCCTTTACAAAACCTTACCTTTGACAACCCCTCATCACTCGTCGATTGCCAGCTGCCACATGCGACTGGTTTTCGTTGGTCTCCACCGGCGAATGGCCACTAAACGGTTGTTCGGGACATAGGGGTTTTGCATATTTGGAGATGCTGGTTGCAGTGGTGATGTCCAATTAGATTTTCGTCGCCGGAATCGACTGGAATCCGACGAAGAACAACGAAAACCTAAGCCTGACGATGCCAGTGATTGGAGGGGCCAATGAGTCGGGAACCAAAGGGTTTTTGGACGACAGACGATGGGGAATGTGATGGAGGTGACCAAGGGGTTCAACGCCATCAGAAAGAACCCAGATCCAGTGAAAACCAAGAGGGTGCGTAGTCACTAAGGGTGTAATTGAAGTAATTTGAAAATAAGATGGTTAATTTTATAATTTTAGTAATTTAAGGGTTAAAACATAATTTATTAATTTAGGGTTAAGAGCATTATCGTAATTGCACCCTTACTACCCTAAAAATTGTTAATAATGTGGGTGGGAATCTAGAATAAATAGAACTTAGGATGCCAATTTGAGATTTCGTCAAACCTTGGTTGGGAATATGTCGTTTACTCTTTCTAAACAAAAAAACTTCATTTTGTCCCACTATGTGCATATTTGATTTAACACATTGTTTATTTATTTTTAAATCTTTAATTTCAATTTTGGACTATTGGAACATGTCTTGGACACATCCTGGTCCTACGACAAAATCATCATGCTAAAAATATTAGTATATAGATTTATTATTTTATATAAATTTTCTATTATATCATACAGAATATGACCAATGAAATAGTTGAAAATTTGACCTCCTAACAAAAATGTTGTGCGGTCAATCCGGAGAGGATAATTCTCTATTAGGAGAGAAGATATTTAGATTGACTCAATTTGGAAAGAAGATATTCAGATTGACTTAGATTCCAACTAAGATAGCCGGAGATCATGCAACTTCCTAATCCTACGTATTTGAATCTTATCTCAATTCTATCATATAAATATGTGCTATATAAACCCATCATAACTTGTTTTTAAGGGGGCTGGGCAATTGTTCTAAGCAAATTTTCCTATGAATTATACTTTTCTTTGTAAGCTCTTAAAAACAATAAGATAACAGTGGACGTAGGCTTAAGTTCTAACTTGCCGAACCACTTTAAAAATCTCTCTGCCATTTACTTTATTGCATTTATTATTCATCCATTGCTGGTTATCTGTAATCACGCGCACATCCATTTCGGTTCCGACAGGGTCAATCGAATTCTCTGATTGGTGCAGATTTATGTATTAACATTTTGGTGCTAGAAGGATGGCTTAATTCACAGCAGCTCTCCATTTTTTTCCCTCAAGTCTCAACTTCTTCAACAAATCCCAGCTTCTTAATCTAGAATCATGTCATCAAATGTGAAAATCTGAGCAGGATACAGTTTGAATCTAGCTAAGTGGTAAACACAAAAATTGTAGCCCTTTGAGTTAGCTTTCCGACGGTCTAAGAATCATCCAAATATGAAGTCTACAGCTAAAGTTATCATCAAAATACTGAAGCCTATTCCAAATCAAAGTTCTCAAATCGTACGGCCAGATCGCTCAGATTGCGCACTTAGATTACTCTGATATTCAGCTTCAGATCATGTGGCTAGATCACTCAAATCGCGTGCTCAAATCTCTCATATTAGAAAAAGCTCTCTAGCTCTTAAGCTCTCCAAGCTTTCTGATCGAGCAATGCTTTCAGATCAAGCTCTCTATGCTTTCTAATCGAACAATGCTCTCAGATTTTGCTCCCCATGCTTTTTGATCGAGCAATGCTCTCAGATCAAGCTCTCCATACTTTCTGATCGAGCAATGCTCTCAGATCAAGCTCTCCATACTTTCTGATCTAGCAATGCTCTCAGATCAAGCTCTCCATGCTTTCTGATCGAGCAATGCTCTCAGATCAAGTTCTCTATGCTTTCTGAACAAGCAATACCCTCGGATCAAGCTCTCCTTGCTTTCTGACTGTGCAATGCTCTCAGATCAAGCTCTCAATGCTTTCTGATCGTGCCATGCTCTCAAATCATGCTCTCTGTGCTTTCTGATCAAGCTCTCAATGCTTTCTGATCGAGCCATGCTCTCAGATCAAGTTCTTGATACTTTCTGATAGAGCAATGCTCTCAGATCAAGCTCTCTATGCTTTCTGATCGAGTCATACTCTTAGATCAAGCTATCCATGCTTTCTGATTGAGCTATGCTCTCAGATCAAGCCCTTCATGTTTTCTGATCAAGTAATGCTCTCATATCAAATGCTTTATGCTTTCTGATCGAGCTATACTCTTAGATCAAGTTCTCCATGCTTTCAGATAGAGTTATACTCTTAGATCAAGCTCTTCATGCTTTCCAATCGAGCTATGCTCTCAGATTAAGCTTTTCGCGCTTTCTAATCGAACTTCTCGCATTCTCAGATCGAGCTCATTATGCTCTTTGATTGAGCTCCCTATGCTCTCAGATCAAACTCTTTATGCTCTTTGATTAATCTCATAAGATTGCTCATTTGCTTGAGATCACATGTTCAAGATCTCTCAGATCGCAGCAAGCATAATTAAAATTCTTCATTTCGAGACTGCAGCTTATAATGCGATAACCATCCAGATTAAAGACATGAGTTTTTGAAGCGCGATTACACACTCCAAAAACTAGGGGGCTATTGTTGTGCGGTCAATCCGGAAAGGATAATTCCCTATTAGGAGAGAAGATATTTAGATTAACTCAATTTGGAAGGAAGACATTCAGATTGACTTAGATTCCAACTAAGGTAGCCGAAGATCATGCAACTTTCTAATCCTATGTATTTGAATCTTATCTCAACTCTATCATGTAAATGGGTGCTATATAAACCCATCATAACTTGTTTTCAAGGGGCTGGACAATTGTTCTAAGCAAGTTTTCCTAGGAATTATACTGTTCTTTGTAAACTCCAAAAAACAATAAGATAACAGTGGACGTAGACTCAAGTTCTAACTTGTCGATCCACTTTAAAAATCTCTCTGTCATTTACTTTATTGCATTTATTATTCATCCATTACTGGCTATCTGTAATCACGCGCACATCCATTCTGGTTCCGACAGGGTCAATCGAAATTCTCTGGTTGGTGCAAATTTCTGTATCAACAAAAAATAAGAACAAAAAGATTATGTATGATCTGGTAATCTCTTGTAATCCCTCTTATGTCAACCTTGAACGATGAATATCACTTTAATTAAAAAAAATTCAAAATTATTTTTATTAATTGGTCTTTGAGAAATTTTTTGTTTAAGTTATATGTAATGATATGGATACATAATAAAGAAACGGCCGGACCAAGTCAGAAAATTAAATAAAATTTCCCAAAATTCCGTAAGTTATATAGATAGGAATATATAATAACACATTTTGAATGTCACGGTTGTTTAATTATAGTTTTTTTTATTTTTAATTTGACGAATCAAATCCTTGATGAAACACGAGGGAATTATATACTTGAACTTTACTTATAAAACATTGGATGATCGCCCACCAAATGACTAATTAGATAAGCAAAAAACTATTAATCGACTTTGTAGAGTGATCAACGGTGATTAATTAATTATAAGAACACACCTGTGTTTCAATGGTCAAACAATTAAATATTATTTTGATCAAATCAAGTAGCCTTTTTGTATTGCGAAAATTTCAGCCTAATTATCTCGCACGCGTTTTAATGTCAAAGTCGTCTACTTGCCTTTCGTTTCTTCTTTTTCCTCTTTCAAAGTCCAAACTTCATTCATAAAAACCCATAAGCAAATTAAGCTTTGTATATATTCCCTCATTTGTACAACTTTTGATATCATAAATATTATTATTCTCTGCCTCTCTGCGTTTGGAGCTTCAACAACTCAGATAAATACACATATACTGTGATTACCGAACTTAATTTGCTGGTTTTTTTTCAAAACGAGAAAGTTTAAACCATGGCAGGAGAAAGTGGAGGAAGATCTTTAGAGCAAACACCGACTTGGGCGGTGGCTGTGGTTTGTTTTTTTTTGGTTGTGATATCAATTTTTATTGAATACATAATCCACCTGATTGGAAAGGTAAGTATCAGCTAGCTATTTCAATAGCAAAAATTATATAAGATCTATAGTGATTTTACACTCAAATATTGAAGTTCTTGATCCGATATATATTTGTGTATATATCCAGTGGTTGAGAAAGAAACACAAGAGAGCTCTTTATGAATCACTCGAAAAGATCAAATCAGGTGCACCATTTTTTTTTTTTTTTTTTTCAGTACCATGCCTATCACTCTGTATATATATATTAATCCCATAACCTAATTTTGCCATTTTCTTTTTTGCTGGTGTAGAACTTATGTTGTTGGGGTTCATATCGTTGCTGCTAACAGTAGGGCAAGGTCTAATATCGAATATATGCGTATCGGAGAGTATCGCGAGTACATGGCATCCATGTGATAAGGAGCAAGAAGAGGAAATAACCGGGCAGACGGAAAAAACAACAGAAAATACAGATGATGAAAACCGCCGGAAACTTCTCGCGATTATGGTCTCTGGTGGAACCTTTCGACGATCTTTGGCCACCGCAGCATCAACTGATAAATGTGCAGAACAGGTATATTTTTTATATATATATATATATATAAGTCTTGTTCTAGGCTTCTATCTAGATCGTCAACTTTTAGGTTCCCGAATAAATTTATTAGTAAAAAGCACGGATTAACGTCAATCCACGTGGTTTTTCATGCAAATAAATAAATTACTATGCATTAAAAGTGGGAACAGAATACAAAAAGGTCAATATGTGGAATAATGAATTAATAATCACTGTGTCACCAATAACATAGCCGCCCACAATCGTGTATGAATATCGAATAGGTGCAAATTTAGTTATTATCCTTTCATATGCTTTTATGGGAAGCATTTTACTTCACAAAATATATGTATTGTTTCATTTAATTCAAAGAAAATAAGTTACCAAATTCGAATAAAAAATTGTCTCGTCATGCAAACATTACCTCATCATACTTTGAATAGCTTTTAGGTCAATAATTTAGTTGTTCACTTCAAGACTCCAGATGATTAGTTAAGGTGTATACAAATTAGTTCGGACATAATTTAATTTATTTTTTCATTGGAGTTATATGTTGAATCAAGTGCACTTAAATTTATAATATTTGCAGGGCAAAGTTTCATTTGTATCGTCAGAAGGTATTCATCAACTCCACATTTTCATCTTCGTGTTAGCCGTTTTCCACATCCTTTACTGTATTCTAACCATGGCTTTGGGGAGAGCCAAGGTAAATAAAATCCTTTATTTACATTGTTACATTACATACATATTTAAATTTAACCTTTACCTACCTCTCCTTTCCTCTCTTTCATTATCTGAGCGGGTTTTGCCATTTGTTGTCTCCAGATGAGAAAATGGAAGCATTGGGAGAAAGAAACAAGAACAGCAGAGTATCAGTTCTCACACGGTAATTAGTCCTCCAAATACTATTATATATACACGTAAAGTTTATGTAATATTCCTTGTCCAATCAAGACGTAAAGTTTATCGTAATATTGCTTGAAATTTCTTCAATTTATCAAATTTAGAAGACCACAAGATAATGTATTAGAACTTGAAGAAAATTCTACGATACTAGAATAATGTTATTTGTATTGACATGGATGCTTAACAAAACTTGGATGAAGTTGACAACTCTTGGATAACGATAAGGTAATCCTAGCCTAATCTTCATAATTAACCAGTATAAATACATAACTGGCATGATACAATAACTCAAATTGACTCAAGCTTTTGAAAATATAGGGTCTTTTATAAAGATAAATATAGCTATTTCCTGTGGCGGCTCGTCTATTTTAGTATGAGTCATTTCAGAAGAAATCTTCCAATCAATATATGACGAAGATCCGTTCAGATATTTACTTACATCCGTATAAAATTTTAGGAACATGTGTAGCTTGCACATTTAGATTTCTATGGCGATGATATGACAATTACTGTATTTGATGCTGTGACAGATCCTGAGAGGTTCAGGTTTGCAAGAGAGACATCGTTTGGCAGAAGGCATTTGAACTTCTGGACCAAGACACCTGGCCTCATTTGGATAGTAAGTTATCTTCTTTCCTTTTCTAATTATATATTTTTTTTTTGTTTCAAAAAAAAAAATTAAAAAAAAAATTATATAGAATAGTCTCATCGTCTACTTACTTTATTAAGATGAGGAAACCGTCTAATTTCAATAAAGTAAAGCGATGATAAGATGAATCTATGTAAAATTTTCTTTTTGCAAGGATTAAACTCTCCTTTCCTCTATTTATTATTAGAAAGAAATGGATTAAGAACTAGTTAATACTAGACCAACATTCAACAAAGTTTGGAAGAACAGAAAGCTACAGTTTTCTTGCATGGCAGCCGATAATATTGATATATTGATAGAGTTAGCTATATATACTATGCACATCATATGGACCAGTTGATATATATATATATATAAAAAAAAACTTTATTTAAAGGATTTAATTATGTTTTAGTTGAAAATATTATTTACCATGAATGCCAGTAACATACTAACATGTAAGAAATTAAATAATATAAGACAATGAATATATACAAATTTATATGATGAAAATTAGAAAGTCGTGATGTATGATTGTAGATCTAGGACCAGGTAAGGTAATATCAACCTTAAATTAATGTTGTAATATCTTAGGTAACGGTCCTTATGTGCATGAATGAATATTGATGAAGTAGGTAACGGTCTTCAAAATATATATACACACTATTCAGAGAACAACCACAGCCGTCCAATTTTCCGCCAAATATAATTTCCCATTTGTATGATTTTGACTTTTCCCATTGTAAAACTTTTCTATTCAAATCCTTATCCTTATTCAGATATCGAATAGATTTATGTTACGTGTGCAAGTGAATTAGGGCCAGGGGTAAATTCTTGTTCAAATTTTTAATAATTTTCACATTTTGTGACTTGTTTTTGCAGGTTTGTTTCTTCAGGCAATTTGTTCGCTCAGTTCCCAAAGTCGATTATTTAACTTTACGCCATGGATTTATCATGGTAATTTATTATAAAAATATAATTACTAACGTTTTTGCCAGTTTGTTTGGCCAAGTCTAGGTACTAAGCCAATTTTGTTTTTGTCTTCGAATCAATCTATTTTGTCAATTTTAACACGATCTATTTTTCCCTTGATTTTCAGGCACATTTGGCCCCCCAAAGCCACACCAGATTTGACTTCCAAAAATACATCAATAGATCACTGGAAGAAGAGTTCAAGGTGGTTGTGGGAATCAGGTTAGTATAGTACATTTCAAACCTTGTTAATTATATTATATTATATTTAACATAAATTAATGTAAACTATTAATTAATTCTTTTTCAGTCCACCAATCTGGTTCTTCGCTGTGATTTTCCTGCTCTTCAACACTCATGGTGAGTAAATGGCGTTTGTAATGAACAACTTTCGATCCTGCATGATGGGATTATTCTAATTAAACTTGTGTCATTCTGTGTGTACAGGCACGTATTCTTATCTATGGCTGCCGTTTATCCCATTAATTGTAAGCTTCCTTAGCTACTTCATTTGGTATTTTTATATATTGATTTAGTGGCTCCAGCTGTAATTAACATCCATCAAATCCTGCAGGTAATTCTGCTAGTGGGAACGAAGCTGCAGGTGATTATAAGCAAAATGGGACTGAGAATCGTGGAGAGAGGGGAAGTTGTAAAGGGTGTACCAGTGGTTGAGCCCGGTGATGACCTCTTTTGGTTCAACCGCCCTCACCTCATTCTTTATCTCATCAATTTTGTTCTCTTTCAGGTATACTTTCATTATTTAATTATTCAATTAATCACCAATCAACATAAATAACGTAAATTTTACTCATCTTCTACTTTTACCATTGCAGAATGCCTTTCAGCTTGCTTTCTTAGCATGGAGTTGGGTAAGCTCCTTATCAACACAAATTTACTTCTAATTATTTAAAATCATTGTAAATGGGGTAAACTTGATGAAACTTGAATATTATTTCACTTTCAGTATGAATTCGGATTGAAATCGTGTTTCCATGAGAACACTGAGGATATAGTCATCAGAGTCATAATGGGGTACTTAATTATAAACCCTTCTTTTGCTTTTGCTTTTGAATTCATGAATCACAGATCCTCTTATCAGATTAATCTTGTTAATCAATTTTCACTAAAACAATACAACTTCTGGTGATTTTTGCAGGGTCGTCATTCAGTTTCTTTGCAGCTACGTTACTCTCCCTCTCTATGCCCTTGTAACACAGGTACTAAACTGATTTAATTAATTTTTGCTAATCACTCTAAAACCAGTTCAAATATTTTACTTATCTTGTTACTTATATGATTAACAGATGGGATCAAACATGAAACCAACCATATTTAACGAAAAAGTGGCAGCAGCACTGAGGAATTGGCATCACTCCGCTAAGAAACACATTAAACAAAACAAGGGCTCCGTCTCTGTCACCCCTTTCTCCAGCAGACCAACCACCCCATCCCACCACGCATCTCCGGTGCACCTCCTCCGCCATTACAGGAGCGAAGTGGACAGCGTCCACACCTCACCCAGAAGATCCAATTTCGATATCGAGCTATCCGAAACCGACTCTCCATCTCCTTCATATCACTGCCGGGGTGATGGTTCATCATCATCTAATTACCATCACAATAACAATAATACTGATCAACCAAATTACTATATAGAGTATGATCCGGAAGTCAATGAGCCGGATCAACAACCACCACCTTCTGCTCCCCACCAACACAAGATTGACGTCGCCAAAGATTTTTCATTCGATAAAAGGACAAGTATATAAGCATTAGTTAGGCTTTAATTTCATGATTAAAGACGCGATACTACATATATATATGTATCTATTTACTACAATTACAAGGATGATGGCATGAGCATGATACAGGCCATTAGGTTTACTAAGGCCTTTGATTTTGCATCACCTTGTACAGTAGGGTTCTTTTGTTCTTTGCACCATAGGGCATGAATATTATATCAATAATGTTACGGACATCGAAAAATCTGCACCGAAATTGTGTATCGGCCTACATGTAACACACTTCTAATTTTTTTAACAATTGTTTTCTAGTGAATGGTCGTCCATCAAATTTGGACATCTATTCACTTACNTCTATTTACTACAATTACAAGGATGATGGCATGAGCATGATATAGGCCATTAGGTTTACTAAGGCCTTTGATTTTGCATCACCTTGTACAGTAGGGTTCTTTTGTTCTTTGCACCATAGGGCATGAATATTATATCAATAATGTTACGGACATCGAAAAATCTGCACCGAAATTGTGTATCGGCCTACATGTAACACACTTCTAATTTTTTTAACAATTGTTTTCTAGTGAATGGTCGTCCATCAAATTTGGACATCTATTCACTTACATGGACGGCCGTCCATATTATATGGACGGGGGTCCATATACCAAGGACGGGCGTCCCCAATTAAAGGACGCCCGTCCATAAATAAAATGGAATAAATTTTTTTTTATAAAAATTAGGAATGGTCGTTCATCCGTTATGGACGGCCGTCCCTTCATTTTGGACAGGCATCCGTAAATAAGGGACGCCCGTCCTTAACCAAAATATGAAAATAAAAAAAGAAAAAAATTTGGGGACGACCGTCCATAAATTTTGGACGGCCGTCCCTTAAATTTGGACGGGCGTCCATTAGGAATGGACGGCCGTCCCTTAAGTTTGGACGAGCGTAATGGACGCCTGTCCATACTTTAAAAAAAAAAAAAAACATTCTAAATACCTTTCTTTTTCGCTCTTCTTCTTCTTCGTTTTCATTCACCGTGTTTTTTTCATATTTATCGCACCTTCTTCACTTGCCTCCATGGAAACTTTATTGCATCCTTCTGAAGTTTCGGACACTTTGTGCTAGTGGCTATTGTGCACTGGACTGCCATGGGAGTTGCACGCACAACAAGCAGATTGGCCGTACTGTGCATGGGAATTTTTCGAACTTACCATGTAATTGTGTTTCCTGAAAGAAATTAACTCTTCTGTGCTTTCCACCAAGTATGCCTTTTATCTCTAGTTCTTTTGCTTACAGTACAACATGTTTTTCTGCTCATCTTTCAACAGCATATGTATTGCCCAGTCGTGAAGCCCTGTGTTTAGGAGATAGGGTCATAATGTATCTTCCACGTTGTGCAGACACTAATTCTGAAGTTAGAAAACTTTATGCTCAGGTATGAATTTTATAGGCAGTTGGTAGTTTCTCCTATGGTTGAATACTTGCAAGTCTTTTACATAAAGTTTAGTAGCTCTCCAAATATTTTACTCAGAAATTTATTGTCCCTCAATTTTTATTTTGTTAGATTCTTGATCAACTCTTTAGCATCTCTCTTTCACTTCCAAGGCCTGTTGGTTCAAGAGTTTTGCACCGAAAATTTTCAGGTAGTTTTAAACACAGTGAATGAAGATGAATACATTATTCGTCTTCATTCACTGTGTTTTTTTAGGGGAGGCAAGAGTTTAAGATTTTCGGGGAAGTCAGTAGCAATGAAGAGAATAAGGATAAGCTACAGAACTTCAACCAGGATGCAAACGTAATATACTGGCTGAAGGACGTCAAAAAGTTGGCTGGACGGGCGTCCATTTCTTACGGATGCCCATCCCATCTAAAGTTTTTCTTTAATTTGTAGAAACCAAAATAATGGATGGGTTTGTCCAAACGTAAGGGACGGCCGTCCATAATTTATGGATTGCTGTCCCCAAAGTTTTTTTTTTCTATTTTTATAATTTATTTATGGACGGACGTCCTTTAAATGGGAACGTCTGTCCCTTGTATATGAACGTCCGTCCATATAATATGGACGAACGTCCATGTGAGTAAATGATCGTCCAAATTTGATGGACAACTATTCACTAGAAAAAAATTATAAAAAAATTAGAGATATGTTACACGTAGGTCGATATACAATTTCGGTATAACTTTTTCGGTGTCCGTCACTTTGTTGATATTATATATATACAGATTGAAGACAATTGTACACTGTTTCATTGTTTTTTTGTTTAAATTAATTATCAGTAATTTTTTATTTCTAGTGTGTAAAGTGTAGCTGATAAAAACATGTTAAGAAATCCGGGGCTTCGGTGGTATTCACAAATGGCAAGCGCCATAGATCCAAGTGTTATTGCATGCAACGGACAAACTGCTTTGCTGTCAAGTTAAGTCTGCTGGTAATGATTTCAAGAAAGAATTATCAGTTTCCGCTTTATTTCTGCAACAAAACGACAAGCCCTGCTGCCTTAACAATCCCCCACTTTTGCAAACTTTTTACTTCCTCTCCACCATCTCCCTGCCCCCTGTTTCATTTCCCCTTTTTTAAACCCAAAACCATTTGCTACCATTCTTCTTTATATATCCATACAAAAATTACGCACCCTTTATCTTCCTAATCTGATAGATATCCAGAGATAATTAGAGATGGAGACACAGCAGGGATTGTTATGGAAACTGGGTCGACAGTGTTATGCGGTGGTGTGCTTGTGTGTGATTCTTGTATCTGTAACAATAGCTCACTATGTTTATGATGTGGAAGCTAACGATCCTCCAGGACGCGCCAAAACTAGTCGTCGTCTTCGGGCTCTGCATGGTCCTCCTCTTCATTCTGCTGCCAAAATCTACTGATCGATCATCAAACTGCATGCATGTCTCAGTTAATTAACTAATTGCTAGTTGCTTCATTGCGAGGTTGAAGATCGAACATCATATTTCTGTAAATCTTCGCTTAATCTAGTTTAACCAAAAACATGGCTTCCATCGCTTCTCTCTTTTACTCTCCTGTTTATATTATGCTTAATTTCCCCAAGTCTAATAAAATTCGCTTTTCTTTGAGGCAAATAAATTATAGGTATTGGAATATTATTTTATTTCGTAATTAAGGTTTAGTTTAGTTTGGGAATGCTATGGTTTCTTTTATATCATTTATGAGTCTCCTTTTCAAATAATCAACTTTTAAAATAAGGTATTTGTTTTTCTTAATTTTAAAAGAGTAAATGACATGTTACCACCCGAGCTTTAGGGAAACCCTAAAGTGATATCACTAGTTATATTTATTCCGTATTAACACCCTTAAATCAAGGGTTAACAATTTTTAGGATGCAGAGTCCTATTATCTGACAAATAAATTGATAAATTTTTTTTAACCCTCCACTTAGTAAAATTAGAAATAACCATTTTAAGTTCAAAATTATCATAATCCCAACCTCTTCTTCAACCTCAGCGCCTGATTCCAGCGTCGTTGGAACACCCCAACACCACCAAACACATCCCCTAACCTCCCTCATCAAAACCCCTATCATCTCTACCCCTCTACACCGCCAAATCGCTGGCGTCGCTCGCTATGGAATCGCGTGCTTCTTGCCGCTCGCTGTGGAATCGCGTGCTTCTTAAATAAAGAAGTTTGAAATTTAAAAAAATTGAAACTGGCCCGCAGTGGTTGGTTGTCGCAACCGACAAAACTTCCGGCGACGAGTGAGTGCACACTGCGAACACCATTGACATTGACATCTTCAATCTACACAATGGTGTTAGTGATTTGTTGAAATATGACACTTTTAAATAGTAGAAAACTGGAAAAGTTTGGCCAAAACTTTATTGGACTACTCTGACTTAACATCGTCATATTTCCAACAAACCTTAGACATTATTGCGTAGATCATCGGCCAGTAATCCCAATGGTGTCGGCGATGTAAACTCACTTGCCAAGAAGCTGGCCGACGACTCCACCAATTAGTTTATGTATTTATGTATTTATGTGTTTTTAATATTTTTTTATTAATTTATTAATCTAATTTAAAATTTTATTTATACAAAGTTATAATTTTTATTTAGTAAAATTAGAATTTATATTTAATCTTACGGTATTTTGGTAATCACCTTTTTAAAAGATGTTAGATTCCAAAAGCTAGAAATACCTACTTTGAAATCATTCTATAAAATAAAGTATAAAAAAAAAGTAAATTGTTCTAAAATCACTTTTGAAATGTGTTTACCAGCTACATTTTGGATCATTGTTTAAAAAATAAGTGATTATGATTTATGTGAGAAATTACAATAATCCTAAACTAAGTCTAATTGTGTCATTTATTTATTAATGATGAATCAAATTTAATAATATTGTTATTTTCAAATGAATTAATTATTAAATTCAGTTGTATTTCACTCAATAAACACCCTTTACTCAAGTAAATGATATAATCCATATTTTATTTAGAGTAAACGACATGTTCCCATCCAAGGTTTGACGAAATCCTAAGTTGGTACTCCAAGTTTCATTTATTCTAGATTCTCACCCTTGAGGTAATGAAAAATGGTTAGATATAACAACTCAGGGGTAAATTGGTTATTTCGCAGAGGAGACGCACATTAACAGATCGCCGCCCCTAACAAAGCTCCGACGCACGTTAGCCAACATCACCGTCGATATTTTTTGCTTTTTTTTGACGATTCTTCTACCCAAAATCACCTTTTCACTACCATTCAAACCCTCATCTTCCTCTCTACAAAACCTTACCCTTCACAACCCTTCATCACTCGCCGATCGCCAACCACGACAGCCACCACATGTGACTAGTTTTCGTCGGTCTCCACTAGCGAATGACTACTAAACGGTTGCTAGGGACATAGGGGTTTTGTAGATTTGAAGACACTAGTTGCAGTGGTGATGTCCAATTGGATTTTCGTCGCTGGAATCCAACGAAGAATGACGAAAACCTAAGCTTAACGGCGCCGGCAATTGGAGGGCCCAATGAGTTGGGAACCAGAGGGGTTTTGGACGACAGACGATGGGGAAGGTGATGGAGGTGACTGGGGGGTTCGCCGCCATCGAAAACAACCCAGATTTAGTAAAAACCGAGACGGTGCACAGTCATTAAAGGTGTAATTAAAGTAATTTCAACATAAGATGGTTAATTATAATTTTAATAATTTAGAGATTAGAACATAATTTATTAATTTAGGGTTAAGGGCATTATAGTAATTGCACCCTCACTATCCAAAAAATTGTTAACTATGTTATTTTAAGGGTGGAAATCTGGAATAAATAGAACTTGGGATACCAAGTTGGGATTACGTCAAACCTTGGGTGGGAATAGGTCGTTTACTCTTATTTACTTTGAAGCTTCTAGCTTCATTTGATTTGCCTCCTCAACAGTTCTAGACTTTATAATTAATTTTTTTATTTCATTTAATTAAAATACCCAAATCCATAGTAATTACGCAATTGCCCAACCCCCAGTAAATATGCACTCCGTAACCACCCTTATTTTTGCCCCCCCATAATTGCCCCTATAGCTTCCCTTTATTTACGCTTCTACCCTCAACCTTCATTTCTCTAAGTCTCTTTGAGTCTGTCCCTTTGATCCCTTCTTCACTAACGCAAACAACAAAAAAACACTTTCTCCACTTCAATTTCATCACTATCAACTACAACGATTAGAATCCATGGCTCGAGGCTCCTCTCAGTCGCAGGCAAGCGCATCCTCCTCTGCCTCCCGACCAGGTGTCATGGCTCCGCGCGGCTCGGCAGCTGCCACCGCCGGGATGCGTCGCCGTCGCGTTACCAGTTCCTCTGGAGGCGGATCCGGCTCGGTAGGAGGCGCAGGAACGAGCTCTAACATGCTCCGTTTCTACACCGATGATGCGCCAGGACTCAAGATCTCGCCGACCGTCGTCCTCGTCATGAGCCTCTGCTTCATCGGCTTCGTCACCGCTCTCCACGTGGTCGGAAAGCTTTACCGCTCCAAAACTGCAGCCTGAGGGTTGTGTATTTTTCGGTTATGATCTCGTGGTCGGAAAGCTTTACCGCTCCAAAACTGCAGCCTGAGGGTTGTGTATTTTTCGTTTACGATCTCGGTAACGCAATGCTACCTAACGTCTCCTGTTTGGTGTCTGCTTGTAAATGATCGCAGGGTTGTAGTTTTTGATTCAGATAAATGTGGATTCTGCTTGGATAATTTTACTTTAAAGAAAAGAATGGGTTTTGCTGCATCAATTGCATTATTCATTTATTTTTGTATTAATTTCTAGCTATTTTTAGAATTGTTTGGTCAATTAGGTAATCTGATATAGCAAACAGTTTCTATGCAATTGCCTGGTGGAGTTTTATGTCAGTAATAAATGGTTTTAGAATACTCACTGAGTGAATGAAATTTCAGTTACCAGAAGCTGGAACCTGGAAGTTACAACTCCAGAATTACAAAATAAAGGGCTCAATAAGGATAGGTGATTAGATAAAAAGAGTTTAGCTTAAGCAGCTGCCTTGGCCTGTTTACTGCTATATTTTGGAGGACAAAGGTGTCAGTTAGAGAGTTCATCACGTTAAGATCATCAGTATTGGTTGGTTAGTAAGAACGTAATTAGACGCTAACATCTCCTTTCTTTCTTTTCTTTTCTCTTAAAAGAAAATTTTCACTCAGCAGATACTGGTTTAAACGTAGTCATAAACCTCTTTCAAATTCTTCCTCGCTTGACTTGTCATTAGAGTTTCCATAAACCTACCTTTCCATTTGTTTTTCTGTTTGAATTAAAATTTTCCCTTACAAAAACTGAAGCAACTTGAGTGTTAGAACTTCCAGCTATGGGTAAGTAGAAATAATGAGTAAAGGTTGTATTTTCTTGGTTAGATATAAATCCTATTCTTCCTGAATTCTGATTTTTACTTGTGGGAAAAATCTTCCTAATCTGTTTGTTGGTTTTTCTAATATCATCTATGATTTCTAGATGACAACATCAGTTTCTTGTTTGGGAATTTTTTTTTGTACTGATTTTTTTCTTGGAATGTTTTACAATAGAAATAATTTTTTTTTTTTTGAATCATTGACTATGTTAATTCATCTTTTGGTGTTCAATATTCAAGGTTGGTTTTGATCACTTTTATCAGCACTTATATGTTCTTTCAGCCAGAATCAATCATGTTGTCCTAGCAACAAAGCTATGAGTGAAACTAGCTACTTATCTTTTCAAGTTGCAGAAGCTAGAGTAAACTATTGAAAAGCAATTGTAGTTTATGTTTCTCTAAATCTTTTAAAAACTTGTTTGGTTTTAGACCCTCTTCCCATGAATGCTGCTATCAGTGACATCCTGTGTAGGGCTCTTGACATAAGGTGGTTGCATTAGAATCCAATAAATTTTCTGTCATCTCACTAGATAACTTATGAATGAGTGAGAAATCTGAAATTTTGGTCAATGTGGACAGGGGAGACAAACCTATTCACTAGCTGACATGGTAGGAGGAGCAATTTTGATACGAATGGTTCACGCAGGAATTATACAAAATAGGACTTTTGATACCAGGAATGTGCATCTATTTGGCATGGAGCTTAGATGTTGTTTTGGACCTTCGGCCTTAAACAATTGGGTTTGTTCTGTTAAACATTTTATCTTATGAGAGTTTTTGTACTCTGTTTCGTGCTCTTGCTCCTATAAAATGGAATTATGAAATTCCAATTAAGAAATACACTGAAATCTAGGTGCCATTTAAGTAAACTACATAATCTAGTTTGATATATGGTAGTCAATCATTTAGCATGGTGGTTAATCTTATTATGACATATTGATCAATTTCTTTGGCCATATCCAATGGCTTATACTTGGTAACCCTACTGGGCTAGTAAGGTGGCTGAACTCAACTTATTCTTCTCATTAGGAGACATGCTTGAAAGACGTTCCACAAGCATATTGCATACAATCGGTTTTTTTTTTTTTTTTTTTAATAACCGGAGTGTCTGAATTAGTTTGCGCATAACTTAACTAATTTTCGAGACCTATTAAATACTTTACAAACCCAATATTCCAGACAACTTATAGGTGTTTCTAAAATAGTTTGAACCCCGAAAATCAATGAAAAGAGAAATTTTCTTAATTCCCAAGTCAATCTTTTAGAGTTATATATAAACGAAAATATCTATGGTCTTATTTTAAATAATGTATAATAATACATACATATATCTTGAGAAATCAGGTTAATTATATCTTGTTAGTTTAGATGTACATCTCTTTTTATTATTAATAATAATTTATAAAATTCTATATTAAATAACTGCTTTATTAATAAAAAATACGGCCCACTGTTATGATACATAAAGAACTTGTCGGGTCGGGTGATGCTCGAAGAAATATGAACGGCTCAATCTCATGCCATGCGTTATTGGTTAATGGGTAGTGAGGATTGTCATACGGTGGTGTAAAAATATAAACGCCTTGTCGTTCTCTAAAATACGTGGATGAGAAAAATACGACCGTTCTGTACATTTTGAACCCGGCGAAAGGAAAAAGGACCGTTAAAAGAGTCGATGCTGTCATCTCCTTCCTCTTCGCTCAACGGCTTGGTTTTTTCTCCCAAAATAGAAAAGAGCACAACAATGATAAGAAATCAGAGACAGAAAATAATCCATTTCTCTTCTGCACCAGAGAAATCAAGGGAAAGAGAGAAGAAGAATGAGCGTGATCGACATCCTCTTCAGAGTCGACGACATTTGCAAGAAGTACGAAAAGTATGATCTCGACAAACAGCGCGATCCGAATTCCCAAGCCGATGATGCCTTCGCTCGCCTTTATACTGCTATTGAAACCGAAGTCGAGAAAGCTCTTCATGTTTGAATTTCTCCTCTTTTTTTTTTTTTTTTTTTGCCTTCTTTAATTTAATTGTGTTTGGTTGCTGATAAAATTTGTTAAAAATGGAAGTAAAATCAGATTAATATATGTTTTGTTAATTCAAATACGTTTAATAAAAAATTACAAGAGATGCACTTTGAAAAGCATTTTAACATGAAAATTTTCAGTTGTTTTTTTTTTTCTTTTCCAATTCTGAGTTGGATTAAATTCATTTGCTAGAGAGTTGTTAAATTGTGCAGAAAGTAGAAGCGGCTTCGAGGGATACAAATAGGGCGGCTGCTGTTGCAATGAATGCGGAGGTTCGTCGGACCAAGGCTCGATTAAAGGAGGAATATCCTAAGCTGCAGAAATTTGCTCGCAAGAAGGTAATTATTATTATTATTAAGTAATTAATGCTCTGAATTATACTTGCTAAATAAGAGGCTTAGGAGCATTTCAGGATTTGGGATAAAGGTGCATATGAATTATTAATGAAAATGTAGGTTTTGTTTGTGGACGGGAGTTAGTTGGTAAGATCTTTGTTAGGCCAAGGTCTGGATTCTTGGAATGGTGGTAAAATCTAAATTTTGATTTTTTTTTCTTCTTCTTTTTAATAAAGAAATTGTTTGTTTGCTTTACTCTTTCTTGTAATTTATGATGTCGTGATATTCTGATAATGAAAGCACAAGTGATTGGAAATTGTTTCAAGTAGTTTAGCTTGGTACAGGAGTTAAATGAATTGGTAATTGCTCCTGGAAGATGTCGAGTTTAGAAATTATTTCAACTGTTTGTTTGTTTTTCTTTCTTGTAATGTATATGATGTTATGTTATTCTGATAATGACAGCACAAGTGATTCGAAATTGTATCACATAGTATAGCTTTGTTAAATGTATTGGTAATTGCTCCTGGAAGATGTCGAATTTAGATGCTTATCCATTATCCTAATGAGTGAGATAGGAGTGTGGGACAAATAACCAGGACTGAGAAAACATAGTAATATTTAATGATCTTCGAATTAAATTAGACTTGAAACTAAAAGTCTCACCAAGGTTAGATGTAAAAGACAAAAAAAGGCACTCTGAAGTAAGGAACCTGGAGGTGTCGACAAAAAGCGACCTCGATTCACTACTTGCTTTTGTCGAATATCTTTACTGTAGTTCATACATCTTATTAAGAAGAAAAAAATAACAAAAAGACAATGAAAAAAGATATTAGTGTTTTAATTCATTGACTTTTTCCTTGGAGTTAATTACTAGAAAATAGATCAACCTTCGAGGGCAAGCTGTTTATAGAGAGACAAAGAGAAAAAAAAAAAAACTAAAAAATCAAATTGAAAAGCACTTTTAATTTTAGAATGTAGTACAGAGTTTATAATGGAGAATTTTTGGCATTATGCTTAGCAACACCAATGAATGTGGATGTGTTAATTTCTGTGGCTTGGCTTGTATGGTCTTTCTCTCTGTCTTCTTTTACCAGTATTGCATCGTTGTAGTCAAAAGGGCTCTGTGAATAGACCTTCATTGTGCTGCCTCATCCTCGGGTCCATGAATTGTAGTGTTTTCTTCTTGTTTCTTGTATAACATATGCACAAAAGGATCATTTTTTAACACATCTAGATTGTAAAATAGTATTATTTGTTACAGCTGACATATCTGCAGTGACAATGACCTATCTCTAATTCTAGCTAAGTAATAATCTCTTGTTTATGATGGTCATAATCTTGCCACCTTAATCTTAGAGGGCTGAAGAGTAAAAATAAATGTTAACACCTAATGGTGGTTGCACCAATGTGTCTATTTCCTTCTTTATAGGGTATTGTTCCTTTTGTGACAGATCAAGAGTCCTATCACTGAATCGCAACATCAACCAGAACTTTAGTCTTAGAGAATTTTCTAGAAGATATCAGCTTCTGCAGCATCAGATGCTAACCTTGATGTGTTGATACTCCATAGACAAGATTATAGGTGTGAAGAATACCCCTAGTAGTACTCTTGTTAAGCTTAAGGTGAAGCTTTATAAAATATATCTAAATAAGTTTTTCACAAATATATATATGATAACAAAATGGAACATTGCGTTGAATATTCTTCCCAGAGATATGCATGGCAGTCATGGGCATGATATACCGTCTCAAAAATTAGCTCAAATTAATCTTTAATTGTGTTTCGAATACTCTTTAAAGGTTTATTTGTCTTCATTTTAATGTGGATGTTGTTTAAATTTAACTTCTTCTGATCAATTATGCAGACATGACTTTAGGGAAGTTCATAGAACTTTAATCTTAATATTTTTTGTATACTTACAGGTCAAAGGGCTTTCAAAAGAAGAACAAGAAACTCGTAATGATCTGGTCCTTGCACTTTCAGATAGGATTGATGCAATTCCAGATGTGACCACAACTGCATCTAATGCAACTGGGGGATGGGAAACTTCATCATCTAATAAAAATATAGTGTTTGACTCATCAGGTGTTTACTATTGTTGTGCTCTTCCTTTGATTATGATTCTTTTGAGTTTTAGCTTTTCAATTAAATGCTAATGTTTAAAATATGCATAATTTGATTGCTGGGAACAAATCATCAGATGGGAACTTTAGCAGTGATTTCTTCCAACAAACCAAAGAATCAAATCAATTTAGGCAAGAATATGAAATGCGGAAAATGAAACAGGCATGTAAGATTCCTAATCATTTCAGAAAATTTACATACGTGCATGTAGATACACATAAATTTGTGTCTATCATGTAAATCTAAAGGAACAAGGTAAATCTTATTTGTTTTAATGCCATCGATACAGGATCAAGGTCTTGATATTATTTCAGAGGGTTTGGATACTTTGAAAAACTTGGCGGATGATATGAATGAGGTATGCCACTTTGCATGTAGTAAATTTGTGATACTATCAGAAGAAAGTACATACCAATAATTTAATCTGACATTTTCAGGAGTTGGATAGGCAAGTTCCATTAATTGATGAAATTGATACAAAGGTGAGAAGTTATTCACTCCAGTCATTATATTTCTTTATTAGATCATGTATTATATCACTCCAGACAAACAAGGTTAAAAAATTATAAATGCAATGCATAGTTCTGATTTGGTGCTTTTACAGGTGGACAAGACAACAGCTGACCTGAAAAATACTAATGTGAGGCTCAAGAAAACTCTTCATCAGGTAACTGATCTAAATGGTTGTTTTAAATATGAATTTCCTTCCACACACTTCACCAGGATTCATTCCAGTATCTGGAGACATCTCAGTTCCAATATAAATCTCTTTTGCTTTTATTCCAGGTGAGGTCAAGTCGGAACATCTGCATCGACATCATTTTGCTGTGCGTATTACTAGGGATCGTCAGCTATATATACAAGTAAGCTCCATAATCTTCTCCTTTCATCCTTTTGAGATTAAAATAGTGTTTTAAGATTTATATCCCATTCAATTATGGTGTCTTTTCCTGTGTCCTGCACAAATGTTATTTAATTTTTATTTCCTGATTGAACATGATTTAGTTGATCTTATTTCATAGATATAATTGAGCTAAGAGTGTGCTGGCCAAGAGAAATAGGCTGTGGTATGCCAGTTGCCTCACTCAAGTTTTGGCATCAACAACCTGAAACATTGTTTTCTTAAGTGAGTCAAGTATGATAAAACTGATTGAGTTGCAATATAGAAATATTGCTAGACTCTGGACGACTGAATATGAAGTTTTTAACTTTTTATTCAATTTTTTTTCTCAAACTTTTACATGAATCTCTCTCTCTTTCTAGTGCAAAAGCTGTGTTTATTGGTTTTCCCACTCCTTTTGTGGGCTTCTTGTTAGGGGAGCTCTTTTTCTTTTACTTCTTCCTTTGGGTTTTTCCCAAGTCAAAATTTACTCTGCATGTGTTGATCCGTTTCTATCATTCTGGTGGCCAGATCTGCCTTCGTTTTCGACTTTCGTTGTATTTGCAAAGTCTTCTCTTAATATAAGATCTTTTTTAAATTCACTGCTATAAGCAACTATATACTTAAAAACTAACTCATAGTTTAGCCTCTAGTAATCATAGATTTTCATGTTGTCTTAGTCAAGGCTTCTCCTAGCATCAGTTGCTTAAATGTCTGATAAATTTGGTAAATTCTGCTCTTTTGTTGGGGGATAAATGCCCTGAACCTGAATCATCTAAACTATGCAATAATAAGTAGTTGATGCCCCTATAAATTAATTAAATTAATGATAGAACAATCAAGAGGACAACTTATTGGAAAAGGGATAGTTTCTTCCTGCTGTAGGAAAAGAATATATATATATATATTCAAACTTATTGGAAGATATATATGTCCTGAAAATATTTGATTTATTGCTCTGATCAGAGAGAGCCTGCACAGAACGGCTTGCGGCAGTTGCTGAATCTGGATTTCTGAACTGACTTTTCTCTATGAATCTTATGTATCGACATTTTGCATTGTTGTTGCAGTGTACTGAACAATTGATTTGAAAGTCTTCATCGACAGCCATTTTGATCAAAATGATTGACTGGAATATATTCTTTAATTGTTTGAGGGTTTTCCATATCACTTTCAACATCTTCAGTTCATCTCTATTGGCTTGGTATAGTTTTTCTACTGGGATTAAGTATTCAAGGAGCAGTTCTTATTAGTTCACTGTTACTCTCACTGCAGTCACCAAATTCTTAAGCAAATTGATAAAAGATCAAGATGTAAATGGTACTATAATTATATAATTACAACACTTTCATCTTCCAATATTGCTTTTCAAATTCTATTTATCCTTAAGCAGAAAATTAAGATGCTTTTTAGTTATTTAATTTCAGTCTTGAACTTATTGATAGCCATAATACTGTTCATATTACAACTGTTGTAAGTTAGGAAGCTCTGAATATATGAAAACATAACAGTGACTACACTCACACCTATACAATAAACTACAAATTATGCATACAGACTGCTGATTTGGTTGCAGTTATCTCCCAATACCTGAAGTCTTAGGTTACTCAGTGTCCTCATTTATATTTTATGCTGTAAAGTCATACTATTGGCTCCAAGCCGGGCCACCTTATTGAGGAACTCCATGCAGCCTTTGTCTAGGAATTTATTACTGTAAATATTTACCTGTGAAAGCAAATTCATTAAGCTCCTCGAAATCAGTGATTGGATCGGACATATTTGGGTAGATGCCTTCATGACATTGGGTATAATAGTTTAGGTTATCGTTAGGGAGTGTCTTGTTTAGTGGAAGATCTTCATTCATGTTGTCATCGCTGGGCTTCCGGTTGGATAGGAGAATGTTTTCATATCTGTTTTCCTGAACACTAGGTTTCCTCTTCAGTGGGTTGAAATAAGTGTCCAAAGAAGAAACAGTTAACGGGGATTTTCCAATATTATCAGAATGGCCGCCACCCTCGTAGACTGATGTAAAACTATTGCCATTGTTGCTACTGGAAATAGTTTGAATGGGAGGTAGAGGTTGATTAGCAAGTATCAAAGCCAGTAGTCCACAGTCTTTATATAGACAATCAGTGATCATGTCAGTGTTGCGGTCTGTGTATGTAGGGCGTGCCTCGTCGATCTTCGGCGAGTATCTCACTGTTAATTCTGCCTTCTGACGGTCATGAACCTCGCTTGTACTCTTTGGCATGTTGCTTTTTAGTCTAACCCGGCATAGAACCCAGTCATCCAACTGTGTGAGATCAAGCAACAATTCCCTTTTCATGTGCTCAATAATTTATGATAAAACCAAAGTTGGTACGAATATTAATCTAAAGATCCCGATAAACTTTACACAAAGTTAAATAAATGCATACTTACTCTCATGGATCCTTTTAACCTGGAAGGTTTAATCATGGTGTCAAGCAGTCTATACTCGTTCATCATCCAGTCAGTCTTGATTCCTTTGGGGGGACGACCAGTGTAAAAGACGAGAGCTTTCTTGACTCCAAGGTTCTTTGATCCATAAGAACTGAAAATAGGTTTGTCAGTACCAGTAGCCTTCCAATAACCTGAACCTGCAGCCCTGTTCGGCCTTGCTCCATTGGGGTATTTCCTATCTCTTGGACTGAAGAAAAACCATTCATCTTCTCCAAACAAAGCCTTCTCTGCACAAATAAACCAAATAAAATACGATCAATATATAAACATATTATCGAAATTCAATTCATTAAATAAAAATAGAATAATATAAGTGAAATGGGGTTGATGAGGAACAACTGACTTGGTAGCTCCCATGGATTATACTTATACAAATCTATTTCAGCAATTATCGATGCTGGAAGTGGACGTGAAGTCACTTTGTTTTGTAAGTAATAAACAATGAGTTCTTCATCAGAAGGATGGAACCTGAAACCAGGAGGAAATTGGAAACCTGGTGAACTGAGTTGCCCCTCCTCCATGGGTGAGAAAAGAATGATGGAATCAAAGAGTAGCGATGATAACAATAAAGTGAATTGTAAATATGCAAGAACTGTGACGAGGGATTATATATATTGTCCAACTCCATGCAGATAAAGACACTATTTAAGATAAAAAACAGCAAACAACCAATTAATCATACGTAGTACAACTTCATACCTTCGAATTTAGAACTGAAGAAAGCAACCGCATTCGGCTTTTACTTGTTGAAAATTAACATTCCATTCGTCTACAACCCAGTTGAAAGTAGGACTTGTTCATATATTTTAGTATTATTAAGTCCCTTTTAACCATACTAACTTTGTAATTATTGTTACTATAGTACAGAACCTTTGTTTTCGCCATAATATAAGCATTTATTAATACAAATGTTAGCTTATAACATAAGATTTTTGAGCCAATTATTGGTTTAAATTGAACATATTTCTATGACTTTTTGTATCTATGCAAAACCGTTTATATATATAATTAATGTGACATAAATTAAATGTAAAATGAAGATAAATGATACGACTAAAAAAATTAATTAATATTTATGTCACTTCGTATAGAAAAAATAATACTAATCTGATAAACATTGCACAAATAGATTACCTTGATAAAGTTTTCATGAAACATTATAGCTTGGGATTCAAAATGGTTTGACTTTTAAGTAAATATGAAACCTTATTAAAACTAGGAAGACTATGGTCCCAGAAAATGGCTGTATTCTGTGCGGACTTTGAAGTCAATTACCGACTGACCAGGTAACCAAATTGTATTAGAATAACTGGCTCTGAGTTTGAATGAACCCATGCATCAAATACGACATTAATTTAGCAGAAAATATTAACCATGTTATCTGGTAATATTAATTAATGAAGAGATGAGGAGAAGATTCGACGTAAAGAGCATGCAAATATGCTGTTTTTGGCTCTATTAATCTCCAAATACATAGTGTTCTCAGAGCCCACTCTTTGGAGAAGAGAAAGACATAGTAATGCCAACGTATGACAACCGGGATTTCACTACCTCTAAACATTTCCTTATTTGGACTCTTCATATTGCTTTCGTCTTTTTCCATAAAGTTTCATATTCAAATACCTTTCCTGCACATGGATCTCAATTCAAATCTTTTCTACATGGAGCCCAAACTTTTCCTATGCTTTGTTAAAGTTTTCTTTTAGATAAATACTGATCATCAAGTTTATAGTTCATCCTATATATATTCACTTTAGATTATGTTTTTTATAGTATTATAAATCAGAAAACCAGATTCATGGGATACCCTTTTGAGAGAATCAGATGAACTAAAAGATCCACATGCAGATGGAATTGCATGCATTAGATTAAAAGAGAAAGAGTTTGAGATATATAATGACGTAAAATAACAGTGACGAAAAGGAAGCTTCTTCAATGAAAACAAACCGATGTTACCCAGGTGTGGATTTTGTTCTGTAATAAATTAAAATTATTAAAAGAAAGAGAGAGAGAGAGAGAGACAGCATCAAGTTTAAATTTTGAACCCTATCTGATGCAGAAAACTTTTGATATCACGGGTCCAACCTAGTTTCAATCGATTCGATTTGTCGTGTATACACGTTGTTCTATGCTTAGGTTACACCCCCTAAAAACAGAACATAAACACTTGGTTGTTCAATATTCATTTCTTCATCTTGTTATGAACGTGAGTGGGACATATATATTTGAAAAGCTTTCTGCATAATTTTATATTTAAACCCAAAAAAAAAAAAAAAAACCATTCACATCTATCTATAAATTCAAAGGTAAAAGCTGAAAGGGTCAATATCAGAGAGTTTTACAATCTTATGAAATGATACGGAAAATTCATATAAGTACTTCTCACCATGTACTCAGCTCTTGGACTTTGGTAATCCAATGGAATTTCATGTAGGCTTACAAATTTTTTTATATTAACTCATGGCAAAACATATTTTTTTTTTGTGTGAAATGAATTGAACTGGGTTCTGGGAATAGTCATCCAGCTAAGCTGATGATAATATGATTTGAAGAAGAAGAATGTTGATTTGTGGATGATTGTGATATGAATTATTCTCAATAATTATTGATGATGCCATAGGTCGTAAAGGTTTGAGAATTTTACAGGGCTCTTTCACAGTTGCGGTTTTGACCCATTAAAGTTGGGGGGACCAATAATTAATGTTGTAGTATTGACAATTAATAAGTTGCGTGTATGTATTTATATTATATAGTTTGATGACTTAAGGAGTTTGGCATTATAAAGTAAATAAATGGTCACCACTTTATCTTCAAAATATATATATTATATAGCTGCCTAAGAATGGAGAAAAGAAGGAGATTGGTAAACATAATTGTTGCGGAGAAACTTTATTCCATGATTTGAAATGTCATGATAATCACAGCAGAGGTAACCAAGTTCTTATAAACTGTTCATTGAGAGTGAAAAGTCGGACAAGAGTTCTTTAATTGAAAACAACTTGCCACCAAACACTTTCTTTCTTTCTTTTGTAAATTTTTTGGGCAATCACTAAAATATCATACACATATCCTTCTCAAGGTTTTCGAATTTATGATTAGATGATAACTTTTAACACTATTTATCAAACGAACCTTTGTGGTTTACTTGAAAGTTAGAATATTAAGTTTGTAAGGTGTGTAATGAGTTCTGGATATTAATTGAAGGGTATAAAATCTGATCTGAATACTCGATTATTAAAAAAAAGGAAGTCAGAATGAGTTGTGTAAAATGTCGTTAATGTACTTGTCCAAGAATTAATGACTGGATGACTTAATACTTTCATTTGCACTCGCACCGCGTGATTTCTACAGTTCTTGACAACTACTCTATGCCTTATTTGGTGGCCGATAATGTGGACTGACAGACTGCTGCCTAGTTACGACTATCACAATTCACACCCAACACTGAATTCCACAATTCATGTCGACTCAAGTTACAGGCTGCTACCTAAATTTTCTGATCCACACCACACCCATCTATCAATTCATTCAAACTATTTTAGGGTGACAGCTTTTTTTATTTTTTTTTTTTTTTTTTTTTTTTTTTTTTTTTTTTNTGAGTTTGTAGGGTGTGAAGAGGAAATGAGAATGAGTTGTGTAAAATGTACTTGTCAAAGAATTAATGAACGGCTGACTTATACTTTCATTTGCACTCGCACCGCGTGATTTCTACAGTTCTTGACAACTATTCTATACCTTATTTGGTGGCCGATAATGTGGACTGCCTGACTGCTGCCTAGTTACGACTATCACAATTCACACCCAACACTGAATTCCGCAATTCCATGTCGACTCAAAGTTACGACTACTACCTAAATTTTGTCATCCACACCACACCACACCTATCTATCAATTCATTTAAACTATTTTAGGCTGGCAGTATTTTTTTTTTTTTTTTTTTTTTTTTTTTTTTTTTACGGTGTATGGACCACTTTGTCCGCACCTTAACTAATTTTTTAGAGTCCTGAAATTGACAACTGAGTAAACCTATTAATGCCTAGGGGTGAAAATCGAGCTGAGCATAAACCGCTGGACTCGAACCCGGCTCAGCATTAGTCAAGTTTGAGTAGTCATTTTTGTGGAATTCGATCACAATAAAACTCGAACTCAAACTCGATTAAAGCTCGAATACTCGAATTAAATTAAAGCTTGTATTCTCGAACTCGAATAATGAAATTCAACTAAAACTCGATTATACGAACTTGAATTCCAATTTCAGGTACCAAGTTCAAGTTCAAGCTCGATTTCTCAAACTCGATCAAGCTCGAACTCGAATTCGGTACTGTAATGTTCGAGTCGAATTCGATTAATCAGGAGTAATACTATGTTTACTCACCATCTTACTGACCATCTTACTATCCTTTACAAATATAACGCATAGTACGGGTACTATGTGAAATTTTAACACAAGCAGTGAGATAGTTAGTAAAACTCGTGGATAAACATAGTATTTCTGTTACTTAAAAAACCACTTGAAAGTTGGGTTACTCTTGAAAATTGAGGAAAGTATCTTAGAGTTATATGGAGCTGATTCTAAGTTACCAACTATTAAATTAGCATATGAAAAGGTTAATTATTTAATAGTAAAAAGTCAAAGTAAATGGACAGTTTTGGTAGCAGCAGTAATTGTTGTGAGCCCGTGAAAATACGGAACCTTACAATACTTTTTACTTTTACTTTAACTTGATTTCAAATTCAATTAATTATTCACATGTGACCCATCCTATTCCTATGTCACATCTTCAAATTAACTTCCTCATAATATTATCTCATACCCTTAATTTTAACGCCAATCACAACGCACCCCCAATTGTTTAAGTTTTTAGAGATTAATTTTAACTTGTTTTTATACCTCTACTACAAATATTTTAATTTAATATGCATCGTACAAGTCCTGCATGTGACACTCTTTTAAATGATTATAACATCAAAATTTTTTCAAACCCAAGAAAATCAAACAAAGATTTTAAAGAATTAAACAAAGCACTTGATTTTAGCATTGGGAGGGATTCAAAAACTATGAAAATGAGCTAAAAATTCTTCACATGACCAAGAGAATTTGGTTTTGGGAGTGTGTGTGTGTACTTTCAGAGACCGAGAACAGTGTAATAGGGCATCATGTTCTGGGAAACAAACATCCGAATGCTTAAAGCCAAAAGTGGTTGGATAGAATATTATCCAGAATCATATTTTTTTCTTCATGAAAGCAATGTTTGATCATATCCCTACTTCAAGACTTAATAAAAAATACACAAGACCATCCAACAAAATCACCAGCGTTTTTCTTTTCTTCAATTGTTTACTCAATTATTACATACCATATATGTAGATAGGGACCCTACAAAATTTACGAATCATTCACTTACTGTCGTTCAATGAATCAACGAGTACAAATAAACATTTCCAAAGCCATGCCATAGAAATACCCAACTTGATTAAGTTTTTTAATTAAATAATTTGACTCAAACCTCCATATATTTTTATGCAACAGACTTTCAACTCTACAAACAACAAGTAATTCCAAAAAATACCTTAAACTAGGTCAATACATTTATATTTTCATAGAATTCAAGCCACACCATGAAGCTAGACCAATAAATTCATATATCCATTCAATACATGTCATGCCACGAAGAAAATAGTCAATTCACATATATAGGCATTTTAAGTTTAAATCAGTTCAGAAAACTGTTACTTTTTTCCTTGCACTGTGCATCATATCCGGGGCAGATCTCCTTGCCTAAGCAGCTATCATATGAGGATGAAAACTTGATGAGCCTTTCTTTGTGTCAGAGTGCATAATACCTTTCATGTAAAGGCGTACTTGATCAGGATTCCCATCTCTTAAGATTTAAAATAAAAAAGATCTTGATCTTCAGGACGCCTTCCTATCTCTGGACAGTGAAATGCAATACTCCCAGCAATTTTTCAATTCAGCATCATCACTCATGTTTTGCATTATAGTTTTCAGTTTCCATTCAACCAACATTATCAAATCATGACCCACCTCTCAATAATAAATTTTGACTGCAAGTGAGAAATGTGCATAACAATTAGTACGATCATTATCAATAGGAAGAACAATATCAAGAATGAAAAGTCCAATATCTTATAATACATTCTCAAGGTCCCACATATTATTCTTATTTGCCTCCAGCATCATCCTCTACGTGAGATAAATAATAAATTAAGAGAGCAAACATTGAATTATGAGCTAATGTTCCCGGGTGAATGCCCTATTTGTTTATAATATTCATCAGTAAGCCGAATCAGCTGCAGTTTCATTTTTAATTTAATAGAAATGCAATTCTCCTCTGCTAACACATGAAAGATGACAACTGCGGCACCTAATTGGGATTTTCTAACAAACTATTAACAAGAAACTAGACATAATGAGAAAAAAAAAAAAATATAGCTAAACTGAAAAAGGATGTAGTTAACAATAGACATGCCTCCACATACTGGGTTAAAATTTAAAAGAGATATTTACAGAAATGTTAATAGTCATCTCACCTTCATCTAGAATATCCACCATCAAATGAGGTCAAGTCTTCGGAATTGCTAAAACCAGAGTATTATCGAGTCCAACTATGTCATTGGATGGCTCTTCAGACTGCCTACAGTCTCCAGGCATACGAATGAACTTGAGGTTACAGCAGCCCCTGTAGCTGAGCCTATTGCCACTGTCAACAACGACATTGAGTTAGAGCTTGACGATTTCACTCATTGAGGATACAGTGTCGGAGTTCAATAAGGCTGAATGGGCCAGGAAGAAGGCAGAGAACCTGCATAACATTGTTTTTAAAATTTTGACTAGTTTTGCCCTTTTGGTTTAGCATGGTGAACTCTTGTATGTACAGCTAAACATGCATCAAAACTCCAACACAAAACAGCAAAAAGATTCAAAACAAATGGAGACTAATTCAGCGATTTGGGCATAAATGAGATAGATCAATAAATTAAGGAAAACAGAAACACATTATAGAGACAGGTAAACAAATACATATTCGTAGCCTCTAACACAAGTTACCTATAAATAATTATAAAAAAATCCTCAAATTTCAACGGCAAAGAAGCCATAGACCTTAAAATATTACCAAAAAGATTTTTTTTAAACAAAAAAAAGGAAGATTAAAAGCTTAACCTAACCCGCTAGTGAACGTAAGTTTTTCTGCTATTATAATGTAAAAGTAAAGCATTCAACTGGAGATTAAAAAAAAAAAAAAAAACTGACCTGAGTTTTGTGGCCTCGGTTAAAATTGAGAATTGTGGAATTTTCTCGGAAAATAGATGTTCGAAAGAAAAGAAAAAAGCGGGAAAATTGATTTGCTCGGGGTTAGGGTTTGGGATTGGAAGGTTAACAATTTTTGTGAATTGGGAAAGGAAAAGAGGGAAATGGAAAAAGTTAGGGTGCACTGAAAGTGGTCAGAAGGAAATGACGTCGTTTCGGAAACACGACATGAAATTTATTAGGATTAAGAAAATTTCATTAATATCTTGCTCCTCAATTACAAAGAATATAATCCATATATAACATTAATTAATATTTATTAATGTGGTTGATACCCTTAATTATTTCATTAATCTGATCAACCATAATCTAGTTAACAAATATATATAAGCTTCTGTCTTTGAAGGATTTAAAAAATCACCATTGAGTAATCTGATGGTAAAAAAGTAAATGAATTTAAACGTGAGTTTTTGAGTTTGAATCCCTCCAAACACTAATAGAGATGAGTTATCACTAAGAAGATTAATCTGGTCGTTCACTTCAAGGCCTTAGGAGACTAGTTCGTATAAACCAATCCGAACACCCTAATTATAAAAATAATAATAATAATAATAAAAGATTTAGAAAATATTACAAATATTGTCTTATTAGTATGTCTTCGTTGTAAAAAGGATTGAACATTTAAATCTTGCTTTAATTGACACTAAAAAGTCATCTTCCTTTAAGCATGTCCGAATTACAAGATTAATACTTTATACAAAATTGCGCTAGTTTTTTTTTTTTTTTTTTTTTTCAAATAAGATTCGGTTCCTTAATTATTGTATCCTAATATATAATAAAGTATGTAGTTAGATTTTATTATTATTATTAAAAATACTTAATCTATGTGAATATCATGGAATATTATACAGAAGAGTTAAAAGCTATTAACCTTGAAATTTGATATTGTAGATTAAGTGAATTAATAATGTATCTTTAGTAATTAGTAAATGTATAAAGGGAGCGAATTTCTAGAGAAACGTGAGAGTGAGTCAGAGAGAGAGAGTATCTCGTGGGCTAAAAATGGAAGAAAGCAGTCATCTCATCTCACTTCTTGTCTTATTGTTTTCAATCTAGAACTTTATCATCACTGCCACTGCCAGTCTTATTGTGGGGTCCTGAATAACTCAACTCAGCCACTCATCTCTCACGGACGGCAATCCTCCTATCTCTTTTACAATTATAACATAATCATTTTTACCTCTTCATCAATGCTGTAAAGTTTTCTCACTTTTTCAAAATCTCTCTTTTCAATTTTCCATTTTTTAAGTATAGGAAACACTACGATCAATCCTTTATCACTTATATAATCTGTATTTATATATAAATATATAAAATGGTGCTCCAGCTGAGTCCATGGCTGACTGACTTTGAGAGAAGCCGTGTAAGATAAGAAGAGAGAGAGAGCGAAAGAGAAAGAGAGAGAATATTCTCTCTAGGTAGCTTTCTTTTTGGTCTTTTCTTCTCAGTTTCAAGCAAGCTTTTTTTTTTTTTTTTTTTTGCAGCAAGAGTCTAATTTCTTAACTTAGAACAAAGTTTTCCAGTTATATTTTCTGTCATTTAAACGGGTACAGAAAATAATTTGATAAATATTCTGGGAAAAATCTTGGGTTATATTTTGCCAAGAAGCTTTTGTTTTTTCTTCTTTTTTTTTTTTGTACGTTCTGGTTTCAGCTTCTCACTTAGTTTCTTCTAGTTTAGATAGTTTGGGACAAACCCAGCAGTTACTTTGTGTTCACTTTCAAAATGATTTCTCAAGATGGCCTTTCTGTTCCTTCTACAATTAAACCTTTTGTTCCAGAACCGAACTCAAACCCTAACCCTAACCCTAGTACAAATCAGTCGAAGAGGAAGAGAAATTTACCGGGAAATCCAGGCAAGTATATATATCTTCACATCCTTAATGCTTCTTCTTCTGCATGCTTCTTTATTTCCTTACTTTTCTACCTTTTTTTTCTTTATGGGTTCTTTTATTTCAAGCAGATCCAGATGCAGAAGTTGTAGCTTTATCTCCAAAGTCTCTCATGGCTACAAACCGATTCCTCTGTGAAATTTGCAACAAGGGTTTCCAAAGAGACCAGAACTTGCAACTTCATCGAAGAGGCCACAATCTTCCATGGAAGCTAAAGCAAAGAACAAACAAAGAAGTAAAAAAGAAGGTGTATATTTGCCCAGAAAAGACCTGCGTACACCATGACCCATCAAGAGCCATAGGTGACCTTACTGGAATAAAGAAACACTACAGCAGAAAACATGGAGAAAAGAAGTGGAAGTGCGAGAAATGTTCAAAGAAGTATGCAGTTCAGTCAGATTGGAAAGCTCATAGTAAGATCTGTGGCACGAGAGAGTACAGATGCGACTGCGGCACACTCTTTTCCAGGTAAGTAATCAATTATATACATACACAGATATATGTATCTGTTTTTGAAGCATCTTTATTGCTTTAAATTTATTCTACACTTTATATGATTAGTTTGTTGAAGAATTAAATGCCAACTACGTAGAGAGGCTTTCATGGTCTTATTATATATGAACTTAATACCGTCTGACGAAGTTGTAATGTTTGTTCTTTTATTTTCGTTTATTATCAAACAGGAAGGACAGCTTTATAACCCACAGAGCTTTTTGCGATGCTTTAGCTGAAGAAAGTGCGAGGTTTACTCCCATTTCGTCTACCAATCCAAATTTTAGGAACGACTCCGGAACAAGCAATAATCCTCATCAAGTTCCCCAATTTTCATCTGTTTTTAGGCCACAGTCTGCAGGACCGGAGCTCGTCGGCAATCTTAGTGTAGATGGCCATAAGCCAAGGTTACCACTATGGCTAGACCAAGCCAATTCTCATCTCAACCCGACTGGGAATATCGCTAGTAATTCTAATGCTATTTTTACACCAAATTCTTCAAGCTTGCCTGAGTTGGCACAAATGGCACCGATGAGTATGTACCCCTTGACCCAAATGCAGTGGTTCAACAAGTACCCAGAAGCATCATTTGCAGGAGCCAATCTCTCTATATCATCAGCATTGCCACGGGGACCCAAAGAGGAAGAGGAAAATAAGAGTTCATATAACTTGTCTGAGTCCATTTCGTCTTTTTATCCAAATAACCAGAGCCACCAACAAGGTTCGGCTCACATGTCCGCCACTGCGCTCTTGCAAAAAGCGGCACAAATGGGATCTACAAGAAGCAACCCAGCAATGAGCAGCAGTACCGGGTTTGGGCTAATGAGTTCTCTATCTTCTTATAACCAGGACAAGAATAATGAAGTTCACAAGTTTTTCAAGCAACCAAATCAAGCTGATCAGAACTTGAACGAGTTAATGAATTCTTTATCTTCTTCAACGCCAGGTTCCACCATCAGAGTAGCTGGTGGGTCTTCGGGAGATCTAAACTCAAGCACCTTAATGACTGACAACAAGAATATAGATCATCTGTTAATGCCAACAAATGCAAAGCAAAGTCAACTAATTCCAGCTGGGAATCTGAATGGGAGTAATTCAAACGAAGCTGAAAGAAGTCTAACAAGAGATTTTCTCGGTGTAGGAGGTCATGAAGCCGCCAGCAGACCATTCTCTCAGCAAGAGCTCGCAAAGTTCATGGATTTGAGCCAGTACAGTGCACATCAGTGAAGTAAAGAGAATCCGAATACAAGAAGGTTAAGTTAGCAGTAGCACATACACTAAAAGAAAGTTTTAAGAGAAGTAGATCAGAGAACTTAATTAGGGTAATGATGAAAGCCTTTTTGCGAGGAGTTGGAGTTGAAGTCAGTGAAGAGCAAGCGAGTCAACTCAGAGGAAAACAGAGAGAAAAGGTGTTGTGAGTTGTGAAGAAGAGCCAAAAGGGGCCAGTGCATGGTGGAAGAGAGTTAGCAGAAAGAGACAATGCCATCAGAGGGGAGTGGGGCCTAGCCATGCATGTAGTTTGTAATTTTTATTTTTATTTTTAAATTTTAATTTTAATTTTTAACGTCGATAGAACATGTAGTAGCTTTGTGTTTAGTATTTACACATGGTCGTGACCACTTCTTGTCTTGTCTCTCTTCGCCTTTTCACACACTGTGACTGATGGCTATGAATGAGGAGGAGGAGGACCGTATAACAAAGGGCAGCATGTAGGGCCTCTACCTTTCATTTACACAACGTGTGTTTCTTCATAAAATCACTACACCGTGAAGTGGTTTTCCATTTCCATTTCTTCCCAACATTATCTAATCTACTATATTTCTATTCTTATAATTGGGTATATAATTTTAGAAGTTTATTTCAGATCCTTTACCTACTTTCTTTATTTTTTTTAATTATACTAGCCTTTCTAAATTATGATATTCTAATCATTAAAAACTAATTATTTTTCTTTAGGGAGTTAATTAATAGTAGGGACTGTTTGTTCATAAATATTACATTAACTTTTATTATATATATATTCTATTAATTTTCTTTATTTAGTATTATTATTGCGGATTATTATCACAGTAAAATCTCTCATTTTTATAAATTAATGTATAGTCAAACTTCACTTATACGCAAGGGTATAGAATTATGAGTAATATTACAGTTATCGAAGGGTATACACCGAATTTGTGCACTAAATGACGTGGTAAAATCTTGATCGTTGATTCATTATAAGTTAATATTAATCAACGGTCATGATTTTGTTACGTCATTCGGTGCACGAATTCGGTGTATAACTTTCGATAACTCTATCATTTTTCTAGAATTATTCACAAGCTTGGGGATGAGATGGTCATAATCATCCAAGCTTCCACCAAAAAACTTTAATGAGATCTATATTCAATTTCATCCCCCCCTCGTTTATTGAACTTCACACTTTACACCCTAAATAACTAGTTTTGAGCACAAGAAAATTGGTCTTTGCTGTCCATCTTGTTCTTCTTCGATGTGGGACATTATTGTGCTCCAAAGTCTCACATTTGGATAATTTAAGGGTAGATCATGGGATGTAATACAGTAAGATATTGTTAAAAAGACTTGTTTGACAGAATGTGCTTTTGGGATTTCAATTTTCAATTCCGAAAAAAATCTAAAATACTTACATCGAGCATATCATACATCAAATTAATGTGAGTAGATGATTTATACTAATCAAATCGTTTTTGGCACTAGATGCCAATATGCAGCTAACTCTTGTTGACGTTGTGGATATGTATGTTCATTATAGTACATTAATGGATATTTTATGAAGAAATTTATAGCTTGTATACAGAAAGCACTGCATTAAAGTGGTAAGTGATAAGACATTGATTTAGCGAGAAATGATAATAATAAATATTTTTTTATGATAATTTCCAAATATTGCGTGCCACCACAAATAGCGCGTTAAGCTTTCATTTTCATTGCCACCGATATCAAAAACTAAATCAAACCCCCCAGTCTACTAATTTAACTGGAACCCTATTTCATCTTCCCTATGGCTATGTTGAAAATTCTTGGGATTTAGAATTCTTTACGCTTCATTGACTTAATCTTCACGTCAACCCTTATTAAATTAGACACTGTTGGTTTGCGGTTCTCACAAGTAATTAATTGAGACCAAAATGAAGAAGATATAATTTCTAACATTAAAAAAAGAAAGAGCAAATGACATATCCTCTCACGGTTTAGCGAAATCCCAAATTAATGCCCCTAATTACATTTAATCTAAATTCTCACCTTTAAAGTAATTGTGCACATTAGTACACTAAAGTGCATTGACGTTTACTTTAGACAAATACGGCTCATGTTAGTAAAGTTTTTATTAGTAGTATCCAAACTGACGGTTTTTGGCCGATTTTAAAGTCTAAAATCACTTCCGAGACCACCGTTGGACTCCCCCACAATCTCCTCTACAAAACTCATACCTTTACTTGCCGATTTCATTCACCGTTTCCGACCACCTTCAACCGTCACTAACAGTGTTAGTTTAAAGGCGAGAATCTGGAATGAATCCAATCAGGGGTATCAACTTGAGATTTCACTAAACCTTGGGTGTGAATATGTCGTTTACTCTTTAGAAAAAAAAAAAAAGAAGACAGTACGACATATCTACTTGTCAACTTGAGCTATGAATTAATTAGGAATTGTTCTCCCTTCACAAAAAAAGAAAGTTTTGTTTTGATAAAGTAAAAGGTATGTTTGGGAGAGTATTAAAAAGTGATAACTATATTTACTTGAAAAAATAATAATTTCCCCCCAAAAATACCCCTTTTTTTAGATTCTATTTTATAAATTTGGAGTTTTGATGGATGAATAATAATGTAGGGGAGGTGGGAAAGGGCCGGCAACGTTAATTTTGATTAAGATTTGAGTTAAAGGTGCTTTGCTTTCATTGTCAAAAATTCCATCATTTGAAGTGAAACTATATATGCAACAACCACACACTAGACACTACTATATACATAATTATCATGGATGTGAGGCCAAATGGAAAAAGACCCTTTATCAAACATTAATTACCTACATCAAATCAATTATTTAAACTACATCTTCATATCATATGCTTCCAATTCCGACTCCAATTAACATGGGCTTAATTATTGACATGTACATGTACGGCCCCCTTAATTAAGATGAGCTTTTCAATTCTGGATCTTGGGGGTAACAGTAATGTGAAAAAAAAAAAAAAATTAAACGTTTGCTTATCTGAAGCATTTATGATAAGTCGTTTTATTTTGAATGACAAGTCGGTTCAAATGTCTCTGTGAACAATAAGTAATACTGGGTCTATAATTTTCTCTCACAACCTCTGATGTGACCGTTCGTAATTGATCAGTTTGTAAATGAGACCTGCTTGCTTGCTATGGGTCGTGCCTACCCATTTTGGAGCTAACCTTTATGAGTTATCACGTCAATGGTTATGAAAGAAGCTTATAAAGCTAATATTACTGGTGAACAATATATGTCTTGTTTAAATAAGGTGTTTTATATGGTACAAGAAACATCATCTTGACGTTGATAGGATTAAAGCATGCCTGGCAAAAGGCCTAGTTTACCGCGTATCGTCCTTTATTGTATGGGTTCATTCATTATAGTGGGCCATTTTGGGTTCACTCTGCTTTATATGCGGCCCACTTGAATCTCATTTAAGTTTAAAGTTGAACCAACAATCAATCGTTCATATCATTATTTTTTTTAATGATTATTTATATCTTAATTAATTTTTTGAGACCCTAAAACTATTAACTAGATAAGAGTTCTAGTGACTATCCTTATTAGTAACCTAGGAGGAACTTAAACTTAAAATCTCTTGAATAATACACCAAAAAATCCCTATTAAATCATTCAGTCACCTAAAGGTTGGTTGTCTTCTTCGTTTACATTGAAGATTGAATTAGAGAACATGAACATGATATAAAATAAAATGACCAAAGTCCATTGCCGTATTAACATTTACGGAACAAAATTACATAATTCAAGAATTACATTACATAGATGTCGAAAAAGAGAACAAAAACAAAGTAAAAAAAGAAAGCTCAAAATTCAATCTTAACGATACATGACAAACAAGCAATTAATATCATACAAAATGAGATTGAAAACAGACAATTATGAAAAACACCACCATCTCCATTGATTTTTAATACCACCGTTCAATTCAAAAAATCACACACCCAATTTTCTTTTACTGTCATCGAGATAACATTGTTGCTGCAACCATAGCAAACCCGAACACAACCACATTTTGCACGGTTACCTTGAGACTCGAGGCACCAGATGTAGCCAATGTAGTATCATCAGGAGTGTCATCAGCACTACCAGCCTTCTTCTTAGGCTTTGCGGGTGCCGGTGCGGGTGCCGGGGGCTTAGCGCCAAAAAGATCCCAAGGAAGAAGCACTTTGTCAACTTGATAAACAGCAAGTTGACCATCAGTATATACGGTGCCAGAAACACTCGTGTTGGTAATGCCGGTTGATATATTCACTGAATTGCCGAAAGTGGTGACGTTGAGTGGATNAAAAAAAAAAAGAAGACAGTACGACATATCTACTTGTCAACTTGAGCTATGAATTAATTAGGAATTGTTCTCCCTTCACAAAAAAAGAAAGTTATGTTTTGATAAAGTAAAAGGTATGTTTGGGAGAGTATTAAAAAGTGATAACTATATATTTACTTGAAAAATAATAATTTCCCTTTTTTTAGATTCTATTTTATAAATTTGGAGTTTTGATGGATGAATAATAATGTAGGGGAGGTGGGAAAGGGCCGGCAACGTTAATTTTGATTAAGATTTGAGTTAAAGGTGCTTTGCTTTCATTGTCAACAATTCCATCATTTGAAGTGAAACTATATATGCAACAACCACACACTAGACACTACTATATACATAATTATCATGGATGTGAGGCCAAATGGAAAAAGACCCTTTATCAAACATTAATTACCTACATCAAATCAATTATTTAAACTACATCTTCATATCATATGCTTCCAATTCCAATTAACATGGGCTTAATTATTGACATGTACATGTACGGCCCCCTCAATTAAGATGAACTTTTCAATTCTGGATCTTGGGGATAGCAGTAATGTGAAAAAAAATTAAACATTTGCTTATCTAAAGCATCTATGATAAGTCATTTTATTTTGAATGGCAAGTCGGTTCAAATGTCTCTGTGAACAATAAGTGATGCTGGATCCACAACTTTCTCTTACAACCTCCGATGTGATTGTTCGTAATTAGTTAGCTCGTAAATAGGACCCCGTTTGCTAACTAATTATAAACTATTATGTTAGGGGTTGTAAAAAAAGGTTGTAAGCTTAATAATATTAGTGGTGAACAATATATGACTTGTTTAAATAAGGTTTTTTATATGGTACATGAAACATCATCTTGACGTTGATAGGATTAAAGCATGCCTGGCAAAAGGCCTAGTATACCGCCTATCTTTCTTTATTGTATGGATTCATTCATTATAGTGGGCCATTTTGGGTTCACTATGCATTATATGCGGCCCACTTGAAATCTAATTTAAGTTTGAAGTTGAACCAAAGGTCAATGTTCATATCATTATATATATATACTAAAGAATTCCTAC